CTGAACTGGAAAGAAAAATTAACATCTGCATATAGAAGAGTATTATGAACGTCTTAAACCTTCACCTACTGAAACTTTCTGCAGGTGTACTGTCTGCCCTCATTTAATAATCTTGATTACAAAGGTGCACTTGTGTAGATATGTTCTTCACAAAAGGCAGAAGTAAGAATGTGTTTTTCACATGTGCTCAGCTGATCAGCACTGTGCCCCTCCTCTGAGGAGCTGCACTTCCTATGCCAGCCAAGCATGCTCCATAGCACCTGTGAGAAGCTGGTGGTGTCCAGCCCCTGCTGGTTTCCAGAGGGTATTCCAAACAGAGTGGATAGCCTCAAAAAGGAGCAGTGTGTTTCTACTCAAAACAAAGTGACAGTGTATGAGTGTGCTCTCATGAGAGCAATGAAGTCATATATAAGTGAATTTCTTAACATGTCTTGCCTTGGACCTACCAATTTCTCAAAACACGTTTTGCTGTGGCATTAGAGTATGGAAACTGAATGTGAAGAACCATAATAAATAAATAAATAGTTATTACAAAACAAGGCATGGAGTATACTTAGTCTGCATTTTTTAGTCCCCTTTTCAGTCTGCTCATGGTGAAATTAGTAGAACCTATCTGCTTGAAGAAAAATTGAGCAGGATATTGTGGCTGCCCTCTTTCCTGTCAACTTGTTAATACAAGTCAACTGGTTACTAAGATTCAGGAAGAGATTTTCTATTAGAGCATACTGGCAGAAAACAGAATAAATGTTGTGGATAAGGAAGAACATACATCTCCTGATAAGTGCAAGATATTTGTCATTTGGTATTAGCAAGCTCTTTGGTACAGTTGAGGATGAAGCTAACAGGGAAAAAAGCACATCTCAGTATTTTCAGGAAGTCTACTATTTAGTTTATCATCTGATTGAAATTATCTGTTGTCAGCCCATGTCTTATTTTTAAGTATTCTACACTTGTGTAAATGAAAGAGAAAAATAGTAATAATGAAGCGGGGGGATGAATTCATATATTTTGTATTCCACCAGATAAATCAAGCCTAATATTTTAAGAAAGCAAACAGCAATGTCTGGCATTACAGGGATGTATCTTTTTTGGATGACCTGATGTCAGAGAAGCTTTTGAGAATAGCTTGCCTGGTCAAACACAGCAGTACCTCTGGCAAGGATAGCCTCTTCCCAGAATATCAGCTGTACAACACTCTGCTATGGCCTATTGCTTCTTTCAGCTGACTCTTAAAAAGTCCATCTGGCTTGTACTCATTCTGTTTAAAATCTATTTATTTTTATGGTATCTCAGATAATTCTTCACGCTTTTCATCCCATGGAAGACAGAGAAGCATTTCTGACAAGAAATATGTATCATCAAAAATCAGTTCATTTGCTTAAAAGAAAGACCTTGTTGTCATCCTTTGAGCATTCCTACTAAATGCTAAGAAGGTCTTTCACAGCCCCCTATGGACTTGTCCTCATCAATAATGCTGCTTTTCTTTTTCCACAGCTTCCTGGGTTATCAATAAAAAGCAAGGGGAAAAAAAAGCAATCCCAAACAAAACCAAATAAACCAAATAAAACCAAAACCAAACCAATCCAAACCGAATCCAACAAACAAACCAACCCCCCCCAACACAACAAAACTAAAAAACCCTCACCAAAGTAAAGCAAACAAACAACAAACAAAAACCCAAACCAAACCAAAACCAAAAGAAAAAAAAAAATCCCTAACCAACTTATGTATTATTATGTGAAACAGGATAGGAGTAATGGGTGGTTTGAGGATTTAAAATCAGGATTATGAAAGATGAGAGTCAAAAGTTTAATTGGGGAAAATAACAGTTGGATTAAATCTCTGGAAATATTTTTATCATAGTAAAATCTGTAATATAATGAAATCTTTAACAAAAAGAAGGGGAATACTCTGGTTTGAACTTTAAAAACCTACCCTGGTAATTTTTAAAGAAACAAAACCTGTCGGGATCTATTCTTCCTGAAAACTGTGAATAGTTTAGGGATATATAAATAAATCTAAATAAACTGGATATAGGAGTTCTCTGTATTACTTACCCTTGGTGGACAACTACTGAGATATATGTGATGCAATACACCCTAATATCACATCTCTGTGTATGTCAACCTCAAGCTGACAGCTTCCCACTTAGCAGAGAGGGTTGGTGGAAATATATGATCATTCTGCCTGTCCATCTCTACAATTAGCAAGGTTTTGCTCTGCCATGCCTGTTCCTATCTCCAGATTATTCTCACATACAGACAGTGAAAGAAGGGACACAATTGGTTCTCAGAGCTAACAATCAACCTGCAAACTTGAGCCCAATACATCAAAATTCTCCTGTGCTTGCTCCTAGCCATTTTGAGCCATGAGCAAAGCAGGGAATTCAATCAGCTCTTCTTGCTCTCCTTTCCCCTGAGGCTTCAAACATGCAGCAAGCTAAGGCTTCTTTTTCCTAGGGAAGTCTGGTTCACTGCCACTGCTGCATTCTTGAGGTTCCCCAAAATTAAATTTTTTATTTTAGTGTTTGAAAGCAGCAGATAACACTTAAATTCAGAACTCATTAGCTATTCTCTGCTGTACCTTAGATACTGTTTCTCCCATAGTGACAAACAGCAAGCTTTTAGCACAGAAACCACCTGTAACAAATGTTATGAATTATTTTCTTGGCTGTTTCTTTATGGACAGTTCATGCACAGTTTCTTGTGAGAAAAAAAAAAAAAAAAGTTATGCCAAAATGTTTGGTTTAAATTAATATTTATTAATAATTATTATTTAATTTTAAATATTGTTAATTTTGAATGAACATTTTTGCTTTGTTTTTTCTGCTCTGTAGGGGAATTTCCTGTTTCTTAACTTTATTTCTTCATGAGACTGCAGAATGTTACACCTATTCAAACTGACTATAAGCAGAAACACAACTCCTCAAAAGAGCCAACACCTTTCTCAAGAACATTGTATCAATTATATAAATCCAGGTCCTTTTCACTGGCATAAGTGTTATCTGTTAATATTATATCAAGAAATTCAGTCTTCAGTCACTCAGAAGTGACAGCAATGACCACTACACCGGAAAGTTTCAGTTAGTGCCAATGGAAGTCAAGGTAACCACGTTATTGCCATTTGCTAAATCTATTTGTGCAAAAATGAGACAAGTAGCAAAAAATTATCTGAGGCTTCATTAACCTGAGCTGTAACAGTGCACAAAAAAAAAAAAAACCAAAAAAACCCCAAACAGTTGGTTTTACAGGTGTTACACTGTAAATTAAAACTGTTCAACTGTTCATTTTAAGATGAAGGCGCCCTCTTCAGAACATGAACACTCAGAATTACAGACTTCCTGTTTTTTGGCCAGAGTGACATCAGTGTAGTGAAGAATGTTTTGAAAGTACTGTCTACAACTTTTTCATTCATTTTTATGACCTTGCCAACACATTGCTGACTGGGCAAAGCTGACTGACTGCAGCTACAATTACTCAACAGCTTGGACACAGACATATGAAAATCCCTGCCCTGTAGAACATCTGCCTACAGCTGTGAGACTTGGAAGTTAGGAATGTTTAAATAGTTCTGTGAACTAGGGTCTTAAGAAAATAACACTTGCAGACTGCCATCATGTGAGATATTAATTTTCTTGTAGGAGTAGCCATGGAGCTATTTGGCACAAACCACACAAAGAGAGAATCCCAGGAAAAAGGAGTCTAGATGGGATCCTTGGGAGGCCACCAAAGCAGAGCCAGCTTCACAGCCAGATCAGGTCGTGTAAGGCCTCATCCAAGCTTGAAAAATATCCAAGGATGGAGATTATGAAACTTCTCTGTGCAACCTGTGCTGCAGCTTCAGCACTACTCCAGATCTTGCCATCCCGAAATGCTATCTACAAAATTACTATGGGTACTCTTTTAGTGCTGGCTACTCAACTCGAGGTAGGAATGTAAGACAGAAGAGAGTCTGGGGATTTGAATTTGCTTCTTTTCAATTTTATTCCTGAATTCAATCATCTCTGATTGTCTTTTTGTTTGGTTGTTTTTTGCTACTTTTACCATGTGCATTTTCCCCTGATATCTTTTTGGATGCCTAAAGTATAAATGAAACAATGCAAAATATACAGGTCTCCTCGGGGTGTTTGAAGACTCAGCAAAATGAATTTTTTTTTCCTGATGCTTACCAATTATTATTCATGTAGTAAAGACCTGAAAAATGCCTCAAAGAGAAGTGGAGATGAATCTCGACATTTTAGCATATAGTCAAAAAGCATAATTTAGCTTTTGTTTCCTACTATAATTATTGTGGCCAAGATTTGATACAAATTCTACAACGGGCATGGGAAAGACAGGATACTCTGTCAAATTTTCGAGATTTGCTGTTCGGCGAGTGGCGTTGAAAAGGCCAAAGTTCGTTGATACCTTATTTAAAATACTCTTGAAATTATTTCTCAGGATAAAACTGTCACTCAGCTCCCTAAATATTAGCTCATCCCGAATCCTCTTTGCTCTCCGTTGAAGACAGATCAGGCCGCTCGCTGCGGCAGGACCGGGATCGCGGCTCGGGGGCGGCCCCGCCGGGCGCGGAAGCGCCGGAGCCTCCGGGCGCCTTTAGGGGAGGCCCCGCCCCCCGCGCGCGCTCCCGCCCCTCGCCGCGCGCCGGGCCAATGGGAGCGCGCGCCCGGGGAAGGCGGGAGAATGCGAACCCCTGGCAGCGCCGCCGGCCGCGCCTTATAAGGGCAGGGCCTCGCGCATGCGCGCTCCGGGCAGGGGCGGGGGCGCTGAGCGGGGGTTTTGCTCCGGCGGCGGCACCACGGGAAGGGGCGCGGGACCCCGCGGAGGGGCGGCCGCAGCCGCCCGGCCCAGCCCGGCCCGGCCCGGCGAGAGCTCACCGCCCCCCGGGCGCGGCCGCCCCAGGGCAACGGGGCGGCGGCAGGAGGAGGAGGAGGAGAAGAAGACGGAGAAGGGAGCGGGGCCGCCGCAAGGACCCCGTGCCCGGTGCGGGCGGCGCGGCGGCGGCGGCGGCGGCGGATGTGCTGCTGGCGCGGGGGGATGATGCTGGCGGGGCCACAGCTGGTGGCGGGGCCGGCGGCGCCGGGCGGGGAGCGGGCCCGGCTGCTCTCGCTCTACGTGCAGGACTACCTGGAGTGCGTGGAGTCCCTGCCGCTGGACATCCAGCGCAACGCCTCGCTGCTGCGGGAGATGGACACGCAGTGCCAAGGTGGGCGCCGCCGCGGGACACCGGGCGGCGGGGAAAAGGGGAAAGGGGACGGCCTCCACCCGCCGCACATGCGCCCGGTGCGGAGGAGCCGGGGCCGGGGTGAGACCTGCTGGGGCCCCGCGGGGCTGAGCCTGCGGGGACGCGGGGCTCCCGGCGCCCGGCGGGTCCCGGGGAAGGCCGCCCCGCCTCGGGGCCGCGCTGCCCGTCACTAGGCCCTGGCTCCGCCGTTTGGGGTCCTTTCCGCCCCGCCGGGCTGCCCTGCTGCCCGAACCGGCGGCGCTGCCGCCGGAGGTGCGGTCCGGAAATCGGCCTCCCAGCAGCTCCTCCCGCCGTGCGGAGCCGGGGGGCGGCGTCCCGGCGGAGCCCAGCGCCCGTCCCACGGTAGACCGCACGCACGGTGGGGGCGGGGATACATAAAGCGCCGACAGCGTTCCCTTGGGTCGTGGAGGGAGACTGCGGAGCGGGAAGTTGCCCTGAACCTCACCCGAAGGCTGCTGCGGGAGGCAGGTTCAGTGCCGATGGAAGTCCTTGCGCCCCGCGGAGTTTGCGGGGCACGGCAGCTGCCAGCCGGCCCTGCCATGCGGCAGGGATTTGATCCCGGGCAGTCGGCACCGGAGCCGCATCTCCCTCCTTCGGCGTGGGCAGGAGGGACCATGGGGACCGGCAAGGCCTCTCAAATGCTGAAGGGCCACCTCAGGAGGCAGCTGTTGTGAAGGGATTCTTTCAATTATCTTTCTAATTACCCGAGCAAACACATAAGAACAGGCTTTTGTAAGTTGCCTGGGATTTTAAAGTTTAAATGGCATAGACTTGCCTGAAGCATTTTGAATTCCTAGTCCAGGCTGGCTCTTTACCTCCTGATCGATGGTGACTAGCCAGCAATCCTCAGATTTTAACAGATTAAATATTTTCTTTAGACTGTTTATTACTGACTGTTTATCCAGCCACCAATACTGGGTCATATAATAAATTTGTTGCTAGTTTTAATCAAAGCCTTCAAGTGGTTTAAAACAACAACAACAAAACATCTTCAAAACCCTAAAAATGGGATAAAAATATTTTAGACCCAAGTCTAAAAATGTAACAGCAATGCTATATTATTTCAGCTAATTTAAAAGGTAATGGTGGTCTGTGGAGAAGGGAAAAAGTCACTCTTGTGCTTAGAAAACAAATCGTTTTAGCTTTTATTAGCTCCATCAAACTTAATCAGATTATCTGTAATGAACACTTGGCCCTGGTTAGGGTTGGGGTTTTTTTTGGGGTTTTTGTTTTGTGTTTTTTTTTTTTTTTTTTTAACAGAGGTTTCAGAGCCGTTTATTAGGGTATATGAATGCTTTGTCTAATCTTTGGGGATTCACAAGTAGTTTGGTAAACTTCCGTCTCTGTCAGTCCAAAACTTCTTTGCATTCTTTAGTGGATGTTGATCCCTGTAAAGTTCAGCATATCCTCACAGGCTGCATCCAGGCAATAACCGATGTAGGATGAATGTTGTTCTGTGTCACAGTATGAACGAGTGAACAGCTATTGTTTGTGAATGGTTCTCCATAGGGCATTCCCAATGTGGGAAATCTAGCTCATCTATCTGTACCTACACTCCTGCCTCCAAAAAAAGAAGTCTGGGTGGGAGATTGTGTGGTTGTACAATACTGTACTCTGGTTATGCCATTCTTGTTCAACAGCATACAAAGTACCCTACTCCATGCTTCTCAGGTGCTGAGAGTAAGGTTTTTAAAAATTTTATTTCTCTTGTCACTGCCAGAGGCAAGTGATGCAGCTGAAGGTGTAGTGAAATAAAGCTTATGGTTTAAATCGTAGCTGAAATGCTTATATTAAAATACAGAAAATACAGGTTGAGTTACTGGACAGGCCAGAGAAGTGATTTTTATATTACCATAGTGAAAATCTGGAACAGAACAAAATGCAGTTGGCTCCTGTTGTCATACACATTTCAGAATTTGTAGCAAAAAGCAGTTGTTCATGCTTAAGCTACTGTTCCAAGATATCAGCAGAGAAAGAAATATCACTAGGAATGATGTTGAGATAACAAGCTTGAATCAATTCACAACAGTGCAGACAAATTCTTTTAAAATGAAAGCAAATTATTTAAATGCAGGTCTTTAGGAAGAGGTAGATTGTACTGCATAACTTCTGCTTTAGAAGTAAATAGTTTAATACCATTTATAAACTATCTTACCTGTTCAAATAAAATCCTGGGTTCTTACTGACCTGTTGTGGTGTGATGACTGAACCAATACTGTACCTAACACTGTACATCAAGTTTCACTGCCAGCTCTTCTAATTATTTCCTTCCCCATTTGGAGTTTCTCTGTCCTTTATGTGTCGATCTAGTGTAACATTTGCCTTGGAAAAAGTAATTTTAAAATCCAGCAATACAGAACAGCAGAGTACAGATGAAGACTGATCTTATATTCGGGTTCATTCAACTTGCTTCTTAGAACTAAATTTAGTGAAAGATTCACAGCAACTCATGCAGTTATTTTGCGTGACTTGGAAGAGGGAAAGCTTGGGAATCAAACTGTGAGCCACTCATTTACTAGTTGCTTAAAAATACCCTATGATGCACTAAAGAGAAGGTCGCCTATTCTGAAAAGTTCAACCCTGATTTAAAATAATTTGTTTTGGCAATAGGGAAAGTATTTTGAGGGGTGTAAGTTGATTTTCATTCTGATTGTAAATTTGCTATTATGTAACTTCAGTTGTCATCTTCCTTTTATAACTGTGTCTACTTGAAAATGTAATGCCAAACCTTGAGATGAGTAAGAGGGGAGGGCAGAGGACCTGGATGAACTAATTCTGGAGTGTTATATATCATGATATACGACAATTCTATGAATTTCAGGATTCTTCGTGTGATAAAACAAGCAATTGCTTTGGTTTGCTGGACGAGTTTTGGAATTATTGTGGTAAGGACTCTTAGGAGAAACTCCTCCTGTTTCAAATGGAAGGAGGATCTGGATTATCCATGCCTTAACAACTACTGTGTCCCCTCTCTTGTATTATCCTTTCTTTTTCCAATGGCTAAAATAAGCTTGCTCTTTCTTTGAACATGAGAATATTTTCTTGCAACATATTGTGACCTTAAACACTGATTTGAGGACCACATGCACTTAAATGATATCTAGGGTATACTGTAATTAAAATTTGCAGTATTTCTCATCAGTTAGAAAAGGTTTTTGTTTTCTTGAGCATGTTTCATCTTGTGTAATTATTTTTATTTTATTTTATTTTATTATTTTTATTTTGTAGAAGCGCTAAAAGAAATAGATGATGTCTATGAAAAATACAAGTCAGAAAACGATCCTGTTCAGAAGAAACGCTTGCAGCAGCATCTTCAGCGTGCATTAATCAACAGTCAAGAACTTGGAGATGAAAAAATTCAAATAGTTACTCAGATGCTAGAACTGGTAGAGAACAGAGCCCGTCAAATGGAGACGCACTCTCAGTGTTTCCAAGAGCTGTCTGAGAACGAGAAGCCTCTAGAAAAGGCCAAGATGGAGTCGTGCCAGCCAGAGAGATCCTCACGCAGGCCTCGTCGGCAGCGCACCAGCGAGAGCCGCGACCTGTGCCACATAGCCAACGGCATCGATGACTGCGACGACCAGCCGCCCAAAGAGAAAAGATCCAAATCTTCCAAGAAGAAAAAACGCTCCAAAGCCAAACAGGAGAGAGAGGTTTCACCTGTAGAATTTGTAATTGATCCCAATGAACCAACTTACTGCTTATGCAGCCAAGTGTCTTATGGCGAAATGATAGGATGTGACAATGAACAGTGCCCTATTGAGTGGTTCCACTTTTCCTGTGTTGGACTGACGTACAAACCGAAGGGCAAGTGGTATTGCCCCAAGTGCAGAGGAGACAATGAGAAAACGATGGACAAATGTACTGACAAATCAAAAAAAGATAGGAGGTCGAGGTAGTGAAAGCAATTTATGTTTTAAAGAGTTGCTCCTTTTATATTAAAATGTTTCATTTCCACAGAACATTGTTTTAGGAAATGCATAAGACTATGCAATAATTTTTAATCTATAATATTAATATTAAAAACTGTTATACCTTCTGTGATCTTTAACTTTCTGCACTGAATAACCAAATAATTGAAACAGGGTGGCTTCAGACCTTTCACAGAAGACATTACAAGCAGATGACGTTTGGTTCCAATTTGCTTTGCTTTGCTTTGCTTTGCAAGGTATTTTAAAGAACCTTGTGAATCCTGAAATAATGGTGGTGGGAAAGATACTGAAGAACTTCTCATGTTATGGCAAAGGGGTTGAAAGACCTCATATCTCTGCTGGCATCTTAACAACTGAGTTTGTTCTTTATCCCAAGTTTTACATTTTCAGTTTTTGTGTTAACATCACATGTTTGGAGTTAGGGGTTTTAAATTCAGCTGTAACTGTAAAAGTCTTCCGAGCTATAAGCAGACCTCTCCAGTGACTTTCATATGATCAGTATGTTATTGCAAGGAAGAAAATACCACTAATTTAAACTTTTCTTTTTTGCCAACATTAAACTCTTGTCTTTGTGACTATACTTGGGAGTCAGTTTTTGGGTATGATATAATTATGGTGTATACTCAGTTTTTCATAATAGGTTTTGTCAAGCATCCTCATGTGGTCTTTATCATTAAGCATGATCTCTCTATAAGCCTTGAAGTGGTAGGATCCCTTGAGAGGTGGGCATATTAACATTTCAGGGAACAGGAACTGGAAATGTGATGGAATCTTCATTATAATCCATCTGTAGAGAGCTGAATCATGACTGGTCTTCTCTGGGGTGTAAACTTTGCTCTTCCTCAAGCAGGATTTGTGTGTGCATGTGGCCAGACCTGGGTTTAGGCACAGCACCAAAATTCTTGCACTTGGGCAACTACCTTAAAAGTCTGAAGGCAGAAGCTTTCAATAAAAAGTTGAGATACAAACTAACAAAACATAAGCATGCATGGCACAGAGCCAATAGACAAATCCCAGCAGGTTTCTGACAGGTGATGTAAGAGCTTTGTCCTGAAGTATGCTGGTAGTATCTAAACACTACTTGGGTGGTAGTTAAAAGTGAACTTCCTCACCCCCATGCCTTAAAGGAGGTGGAAAAAAAGATGAGAACAGCTGTTGCTGCTCCTTTGCAACGGGAGATACTAATGGAGGGGTGAGTGGGTACCAAAGCTCAGTCCTAGGGTTCTTGCTCAGCAGTGCTCTTGAGACTGGAAGTGGGGTGGGCTTGGCAAGGCAGGCAGCAGCTCTGCAGGGCTGGCTGTGGGGTTACCTGAGGGTGGGCTGCAAGTGCTCAAAGTCCCTGGAGGTCCCTTGCTGCTAAGGTGTCCCTTGACAGTACAGAGAGAAAAGTGACACCGGCTCTGGCCAAGGCCGATTAGAAGCAGTTGTGCTGAGTTGAGAGCAGCCCGGAAGGCAGGCAATGAGCAGAAGGGAGCTGGGATGGATGAATGCCATCAGAACTTCCTGCATCTCCACTAGAAGGCTGTGCCAGCTGGGGCTCCGGGTGGAATGTGCAGAGCAGGGCACAAAGCCTCGGTGCTGTCAGACCAGGTGGCACAAATCTGCACAGCATGCTCAGCATTATAAGGTAAGTAACATACTAAGCCTGTTTCCTCAGGTGTGATCTGATTCCTTAGCAGGATGGAGCATTTGCAAGTAGTTAGCATGTACAAGGGGAGTGGAAAGGCAAATGTTTTAATTTTTGCTCTAAAACTGTAGGTTTATGAAGTGGAGCAGTGCTCCAGCAGGGAGATCTGTACCACAGTAAGCAAACAGCTCCTGCAGGAAACTCCGGTAAGGGCTCTGACCATCAGTAGGATGGGATAGAGGGTAAACCTTATCCCCACCTCACTTTCCAGGCCTACTCAGATTGCAAATACAGTCTTGAGGGGCTGGATCATGGCTTTTGATGGAGAATGATCAGACCTGCTTTTGGAGATAAGTGGCAGTAAGTTGTCTTCTGAACATTTGACTCCTTTTTTGTTATGGCTTAAGGATTCTTAAATTTCCTTTTTGAGAAGATTGATTGGAAGCCTTGGGCTGAGGATTTCGTGAAAATCTAACGTTTACCTAAAATGGACAATGCTCCCTAGTATTAAAAAATAAACGTTGCTTAGGTAAGCATTGAAGCTGCAGGACAAAGTACAAGTAAAACTATAGCTATTAATGTTACTGATTTATCTGGAAAAGTATTGCTTGAATTTGTACTGGATAAATCAAGAATACTTTCCAATGCAGAGAGGAAATCTGGGAGCCTTACATAATTCATCTGAAATAATTGCTGAAGTAGGAGGTGTATGTTGGGGTGATACAGAAAGGAAATTTTAGATTTTGAAAGTGGTCCAGATAAATATCTCTAACGCAGGGATGCTTTCTTTTATTCTAATGACCCTTCTAGTAGTGAATAGGAATTCTCAAGGCTTCCAGTGAAGATAGTGCTTGAGAAATGGCACTTGCTTGGCCTAATATATGAAATTGCTCAAATGTAACAACAGTTCTGTTTATATTGCAAATTAGCAGCATGCCTCAAATATACTGGGTCTTTCTGCAATTATTTCTTTTAAATGCCCTAGCTAATTTTTTGTTAAGACATACATGAGAAAATTATCTGACTGATGTTATCTGGTATCTAGCCTTTCACCACTTTTTTTAACCAAACCTAAATTTTATGGGTTTCTATCCATTCCCATAGAAGATCAACGATAAATTGCTGAAGATGCACATAAGATGCTAGTATGAAATCAGAAAGGTAAGTAGAGAATTCTTATGTTGCTTCTTAATGTTGAGTTACATTTTTTAAAGGGATGAACCTCACTAGTGAAGTCAAAATGAAAAGTAAAGTCTGTTAAACCAGTATTCAAGATACGTATTGAGTCTCATGAAGTCTGTCTGTCTTCCTCCAAAAAAAAAAAAGTAATCAGGGCAATGCATACTTTGGGAGTTGATAGTAGTATATGTGACTACACAGTTTACTGCTTTCTCTTTTGAAAATCAGTGCTGCATCCTAATTCAGCCTAGTTACATCTTGTTTTCTTGGAGCTTTTGAAAAAATTGTGTACTTCTAAGTTTGTTATTTTCGCCTTTCAGTTTTGAAGTAATGCAAGTTTATCAGCAGAAAAATGACCCCAATAAGCTTTTTAAAAGAAATTTTATTGGAGCAAGAATGTTTCTTGATCACTGTCCTGTGGGCTGGTTTGATTAATTTGGATGAAATAAGCTTTAAAGCAAAACACAAATGCACATAAGAGAAAGCATACTGTTTTGAAAGCACAACAAGCAATTTAATACTTGTCATCTAAATTGTAAGGTCATCTTGATATCTGCAGCACTATGATAATATTCTGTATTTAAACTAGTTTTAACTGTATTTCACTGCCAAGCTTCAACTAATCTACACATCCAGAAATGGTAATGTGATACTGACAGGTCTTGAAACTGGTTCAGAATAAATGTAAGGGCAATGCCCCTTTCTTCCCTTAATTTATATAAGGATTTTGTATTGGATCCTTTTAGAGCTGAGATGGGCCTTTATAAAGAAGATGGCATTTCATAACTTTGAAGACTCTTAATTTAAAAGTCTCTAACTTCAGCTTTAAGGAAACTGCTATGGTTTGTCTGAATTCACATGAGATGTTTGGCCACACCAGCAAGTTAAGGGCTTGGACTTCTTTCTCCCTCTTATTTGCATATATATTTCTTTTGTTAAGAGGTCTCATTTCCAGTAGCTCTGCAAGTCTTTGATATTGACACCTCAGACTGAAAAATATACCACAGGTCTTTGCATTAGATCCTCTAAAGTTGATGAGCAGGGCTTTCACTCAAACCCACAATTGTTTTTCTGTCCAGTGCTATTTAGGCAAGACATTTTGCTAGCAGTGGTAGAAACAGACGTTAATGTCCAAGTGTTCAAGTCCCACACATACTGTAGAAGAGAAAAGATGTATTTTTCTTTCCTGCCTCTTTTCCAATACATGCCATGAAAGAGTTGAAAGGAGTTTGAAATGCCTCTCCTGTGACAATTTTCTGATTACTCTGCAGTCTTCGGAACAGCTTGAGAATTATGCAGTGCCACTACAGCTGGGCAATAAACAGTTGTATTTAGTGAAAATTCTGGGAAATTTTTCATTAAGTGAAACTGCCATGTGCTTTTGAATCCTAGTTTCAAGGTCAAGTTAAGATTGCATCTGAATCCTTTCTAATTTTTTGGTGAGTAAGAGTTCTAAAAGCTCATTTTAACAAATTCATTTTTTTATCTAGATTTGCATTCTTTTAATTTACCTCATATAGGGCAAGTTCAGTTTTAAGTGCATGGTTTAATAATTGCAGTTTAAAACTGCAAGTATTAAGCTGAATTGCATTTCTGTTCTGCTGCAGCTGTGTTCCAGCAGAGCATTACTGGCCAATTCTGTACTGCTCAGAGATGCACTTTATGCATTGTATGCTTTTGGGGATTTTTCTTAAATATACATCGAGGAAGTCATAAGTAGGATAGACACAGATTCAAACTGTAATTTCTGTTTCAAAGGCCTGTTTTCCAGTGTAGAGATTAGTGCTTAGTGTGTGCATAGAAAAATTAAAATCCTCCCTAAAGCTTTGCTTTCATACACTTACAGAATGCCTCCACTGAAAATGAAAGAACCGGTGAATGAATTTCACTACAGTGATTAGAAGAAAGTTACAGTTTATAGTTGAAGGAATAGAGGGGAAGCAACTCAAGTACTTTTTGGGTTGAATGTAATGTGGTTTAAGAATCTCAAAAGAGAAGAAAACAGAATGAATTCTAGAACCTTTGATACTAATGTTCAGCAGAAAAATTAGGATTAAATCCTGCCCCAATTTGAATAAAATTCTATTGAGCAGGGTTCTACCCAGCATACTGATTTCCAGCTTCCTTTGACTAAAGCCTAAAAAAAGATTAAAGCTCCATGGCAACTACTATCTTAACTCCTGACAGCCATAGTATAAATTACATCTTGTAAAAACCTAATACTGAAAAGTTTTATTTAGGTCACCAGTCAGGCTAGGAAATGGAAGCCTTTGGAAGGTAGATGCCACCCTAAACTTCATTTTGGCCCTTTATGGGTATCAGTGAGGCAGAGATTTTTGTGGGTGGCAGATTGGATGCATATGCAGTATGAATAAAAAATCGGACAAGTTTTAGGTGTGTGAACTTTTTTCATACTTCTGGGGGAAAACTGCAATTTACTTGTGACCATAACCTTCCAGTAAGGAATACAGCAAGGTTCAGCTGGGAGACAACAGCCCAGACAGGGATAACATGAAGTTGTCACAATAGTTGCATTTGCTGGCAGTGGAGGGACAGTACTGGGTTGGGATTTTTTGTGTTTGGTTTTTTTTTGTTTGATTGGTTGCTCTTGGGTTTTGGTCTTTTGGGTTTTTCTGTTTGTTGTTGTTTTTGTTTGGGTTTTGGCTTTTTTGGTGGTTTTTTTTTTTTTTTTTTTTTTGGTACAGGGGTTTGTGTGTGGATTTTGGTTGGTTTCTTCTCATTTGTTTTTAATGGAGAGGGGAGGGAAATGGATGGAGTACAGAGTGGAATGATCATCATGTACTTCAGCTGGGAAAAGAAGGGAGTCATTCACAAATAGTCATACCTAAAACCAGAGTCCCATGCTTACTAAAGATGCACAAAACAAAGCCTAATTTTAAATAAATCATGCAACTTCTTATCAGTGAGAGCCCAACATTCCTGCTCATTTCCAGTTTAGAGGATGAGAACATATAAGCAGAAATTAATATATTTGTCTCATTACTTAAAGTAGCAAAAACCTGGCAAAATGACTGACCGTGGTTTTACCACAGTGAAAGGAGGCAAATGAGTGGATGAAAATGACATGGGAGTAATTTTGTTTAAGAAGATAAGTTGAAGTAATTTTTACAAACATTTACACTCCTTGACTTAGCAGCAGAAGCACAAAATTTATTAACTTATTCTTTGCATTTCATGAAGTTACCTTATCAGCATTTGCCAGCTTCCTCATTTTTCCTTCTTGACCAAGTCACAGGGTAGAAGAATTTGATAGTTCTGGAGTATACCATTCATGTAAGAAAAAAAGAGGAACATATTCAGGAGTTTACCTATTTTCCATCACGACTCCAAACCCAGTTCTGGTGTCACATGTCATTGTCAAGCAAATGACAAATCTGGCTCATTCTTCAGTAATTTTTTAACTTAAAATTAAGAAAAAATAGTAATTTTAAATGTCTGTCAGATAAACATAGCTAATATTAATTTGATACTAGTGTTAAGGAATACCACTTCAATGATTATTTAATATAGTACAATAATTAATGATAAAAACTCCCAGGATGTGAAGAGATTAAGATCAACACATTGCTAATTTTGTGCCACAGCAAAAAGAAAGCTGCAATATCCCATCAAATCTTGTGAGACTAATAAATAAGAATTCTGTTTTCAGATGTTGAGTAATTGTATGCTATTTCAGAAACCACACTTAAAGGTGGAGGGAGTTCAAAGAAGCAAGATAGAGAAAAGATATAGAAGACAATGACTTCTAATGATAGAACAGAGCCTAGAAATGAGAGGACTGAGGTCAGGAATCCTCAGTAATGTGAAAGTTTGCTTTCAAGAGGAAAAGGACAATCTGTCTAAGTGAAAAGGACAGTAATTAATGTCCCTTGGATGGAGCACTGGAAGTTTAAATATGACACTAGGGAGAAATCAAAACAAAAAAATGTGCTGTCCAACCATAGTGACAGTGAAGGACTGGAATATATTTGGAAAGTAAAGATCTCCAGTGACAAAGATGCTACAAGGCAGGCTAGACAATTATGTTGACATCAGTTTAATTGTAACTGATCCTGCTGGCAGGGGAAATGGATTGGATCAGGAGTTCCTGAGCTGTGCTAAGACAGTGACATATCCTTGGAGGCCCAGGTAAAGCTCCAGAAGAATTTAATTTGGTATTTCTCTTTCTTCCGACCTTTTCCCTTTGAAGTTCTCTCCGAAAGTCATTTGAAGAATGTTGTGCTTCCTCTCAGGCAGCAGGACAGGAAGGGAGCAGAGCCATCAGATTCTTTCTACCTTGGGGCACATTTTGAGGATTGCCAGTGGCCAGCTGGGGGACGCTTGTTCCATGTTCTCTGCATTCCCTTGGCAGAAGATCTGAACTGTGGTGAGGGTTATGCTGCTACCCCAGCAGCAGAAATTCCATGTGGGCTGACTCTTCCCTTTCTACTGAAATTCAGATCCACTACTGAGGAGCATTTAGAGGCACATGAGGAATGGTGTAATTTCCCTGGGGCATCAAAACTTGGGTCAGGGAGAGGAAGTTTCTATCGATACCTGGCAATCCAGGCAGTGGCTGCAGAACACAACTACCTACCCAGGGCCAAGATTCTAGCTATTGTACAGAAGTAACACCTACTGGGTGGACTGGAAATAGGAATATATGTATATAGGGCTCATACAGATGAAGGCCCTATCCCATTGCAGTAGAAAGATAGGCCCAGTAATAATAAATTTCAGTACCATTGAAATAAATGACCTCCTAACAAGGATTTTCAGCTCCACTTCCTACGTGTTGCACCTAATTAATAAATTATTAACAAAATAATTATATTCTCTGCAGTCATAGAAAATCTGATGTTCAGGTATCTTAAGCAGCAATCCTGGATATTTTGCTTTGGTTTCAAGCTATTCAAGAAACCTTGGAATAACATTTCACAGTATTTGCTTTGGTAAGTGTTAATTTTTGGTGGAGGGAACTG